GTCATAATGTCACCTGACGTCACGTGACCAAGCGACATGACGTCGTCACGTGACGTGACACCATGACATTGCACTCTCACGTGACGTTATGGCGTCACGTTACGTTACGGTATCACGTGACGTCATGTCGTGTGTTGAGGTCGTAGAAGATCTATAAAGACTACGCATTTAGAGGGCCTTTGGAATGATGTGTCACGTGACCCTGTGACGTCATCGAGACAACATGCCACGGACGCGAAGTCCCTAAGGCTAGCCCTACAAATGCCAAGCTTAAAAAAAAAAAGAAAGGTTCAGGTTTCCCGTCTTTAGGTTCACGTTTTCCGTCTTAATATACGTATAATTACAACAATAAAAAAAAAGAACAGAACAAAAAGCGGTTTTTGCGTCGATGGCAACAAAGGAGAGCAGGGCGGATCCGGCTGCGAACGTGATCATCTCCCAGAAAAGACTGTCCATGGCCACGTCCAACTTGGCGGCGCACTTCAAGCCATTCCGCAGCACGCCGTACACCAGGACGAAGCCCAAGAACACGATCGTCTCCGCGCTGATGTCCCTGCGAGAACGGTGGATCAAACTAGTCGTAGCGGACGATTAGACAACGGGAAATTTGTACTGGAGTCTGACGACTTGTGTGTTCGCAGTGAATGACGAACTTGGAAGTGAGAGGAATATCCCTAAATATTTTTGTTGTACCATACCAGGGGAATTCGAGAATTCCCCTGGTATGGTACGTGATTACTCCTTTCCATGAAAGCGTACGAGGGCGGGTTCATTCGTGTGTTGGTGTGTTATGCACGCGCACTTTCTGGCTAACCGCAATTGCGAGCGAGCGCTGACTGAACTGTAATTTAGCACTTGTGGACTGTGATTTTTGTAAACAGTGAAAACGTCTATACTGGAACCACGGTGGAAGAAACGCATATAGGGAATCTTTGATTCCAAATTTATCTATTATCTACTGCAATGAGTGTTAATCATCAATCAATACATGTGACATTAATCTAATCTGAAAAATAGAAACGGCGTAAAATTATTTTATTAAGGCGAAATGCGTGATTCTTGTTCTTTGAAGAAACCTAGATTTAGACATGTGTGTCTAAATTAGACAGCGGAGGCCACTGTGCCACGTGACACTTACAGCGAACGAATAAAACGTAAGCAATTATGACTAGCCACAAGCTAGGCTAATGGATTGACTAGTCAACACGAGTCGCCATTTGGTTCGGAGGCTTTTGCCGTGTTTCTTCTTTCATCCGCTTGTCCTCTCCATGGTTGCCTATTTGAAGGCTCCTCGAAGGTTTAGTTGAGGACCACCTACTATCTAGTTAGATGCATAGAGATGAGCAGCTTCCAATAGACAGTGGCGCCGTGAACAGAGGTGGGCAGGGCCATGTAGAGCCAGGTGAGGAACGCCAACTTGAGACCAGAGCCTGAACTGCAGCCAAAGGTGCGCATTCCTGAATGTGCAGGGTGTCAGCAAAAATATTTGTGCTTCATTACACACACAAAAAAAGAAAAAAATTACTCGTCGCCGCTTACTTAGTTTTTGCTCAAATAAGGCTCCGGACCAAATGCCAAAGTTTCATAGCTTAATTGTCGTTATCTAATTAAAAAATTAGTGTTCTTTTCTTAAATTTTGAACGCGAAATCGGCGGCCCATCAGCCCACCAATGCATGGAGATAAATGGCGTCAGCTTCCGTGGACTACCCTGGACGGACTTTATTTTCCCAATGAAATTTTCAAAAGTTGTTTAAAACTTTTGTATCAGATAACTGCCTGCTCCGAAAGTTTAGCACCTGCTCTAGACTAAGTTTGGGCAGATATAGAGCGTTCGGCGATACGTTTTTTTAAAAATATATTTTATGGTGAAAGAAACACTGTAAATTATTTTCTCGGAGACCCCAGAACTTCATCCACGCTGTATGGAATAAAATATGGAGGTCAAGATAAACGCTGCAACGGGCGGAGCACTATCCGAGCACCTAGTTTAATGGTAATGTGGCCCCAAAGAATGGCCTCAACGTCAAGGGAATATTTCTTTCAAATAAGGATGTGATCACTAATCAAATACCACGCTACTCACAAGTGTCAACTAAATAATAATTAAAAATAATCAAGAAAGTTTATTGGTGGATTTTTAGGGAATGCATTAGCATTCCCTAAGCAGCGTTAGCGTTTCCCTTTGGGAAACGCTAACGCTGACCCGCTCACCTTTCTATTTAGGTTTTCTTTGCTTTCTCTATTTTTGGCTGCCTCCTTTTGGCTTCGTTACTGGATCAGTGCTGCCTAAAGCGGAATGTGAGTGGCGTTTCCCAAGGGTCACGCTAACGCATTCCCTAAGGATCCACCGACGGCTCTTCCTTTCATTCTTTTGCCGCCTACTTGGAGCGGCGTTAGTACTTGGTTCACACCCCATTTTGTACCACAAAGCAAAGCATATGCGCTGCGCACACCCGCAAGTTCAGACTCGCCCCAGTATCCGCGCGCGCATTGGCTTCCGCGCCCCATGACGTCGCCTTCGCTACTCTTCTCTTTCCATTGTTTTGTCCACAGACTAACGCCGCCAGCTTTTCGATTTCCTGTGGGTACTAAAGCGAACTCAACAATATAAAAAGAAAGAAACTTCTTCTAGGAATGGTCAGGGTGTGTACCCCTGGGGAAAATAAGTCAATCGGGAAAACTAATAAAAGTATGAATCAAATCAGATTATGGTAACCGACAACTTAGAAACTTTCAGCCTTTCCACTCTGATGAAGGCGGAAGACCAGCGAAGCTGTTCTATAATGGGAATGAAGTAATGGTCGGCCGCAAGTCGGCAAGCCAGAGTGGAAAGGCTCGAAAGGTTGCGCCGCCTATGAGCGACGGCTGCAACCAGACAACCGGCAAGCCGGTTGTCTGGTTGCCGCCGTCGAACATAGATGGCGGTAGCTGTCCGGAGTTTTGTGTCATCAGGTCGTTTGAGGACAGACACGATCCTGGAGAAACTAGCACTTAAATGATAACTGCAAAGAAAAAAAGTGATTTTTTTAAGCAGTCTAATTGGGACAAGCATGCCACAAAACAAATCTACGGCGAAAAATATTTTTTTTTTTTTTTTAGGACGTTACAGGACGTAATTTAGTCGGAGTCAGAACCTCTCCACATTTGAAACTCCCGCTCTTTCGACTCGCGCGGAGGAGACGTACGCCCCGCCCCTCACTCTTGGATTTGCTCTTGGATTGACTTGGCTGCGGAGTTGTACGCAGCGTCTCGACTTCCGGTGCGTCTTGTCAACACCTCCTAGAAGACAAGGCCGTAGCGCTCTCCTCGTGACGTCGCAAAAGAAGGCCATTGCGGGCGCGCGTCGAAGCGCCGAAGCGAAGGCAACGCACGTGGATCGACCTTCGCAGCGGCGTGTTTTTGGTTATACAAGCGTGTTTAATTAGCTAAACTTCCACTGCGCTCATGATGAAAGCTCGGAAGCTGATTTTATTACTCGTTTTGTTTTGGTTTTGTTAGCATTGTCACAAGATATGTTGAGTTCATTCGTAAACAGCAATATTCCTAGTGGTGTAATTATTCCTTGAAGATTAATGATTTTATGAAAAGTAATTATCACGAAATGACTAGATGCACTGATTTCGAAGTAACCACATCCTTGCGTAAAATTAAAACGTCGGAAGTCATCACTGAAGACGAGTGGTCTAATTCCGTTTGTCTCGAACTGTTTTTATTTTGCATGCGTAAATGCAAAACGTATAGCACCAAATGCTTGCCAATACAATGTTTACAAAAGCAGTGAACATTAATGAGAAAGACTGCATTAAACTTGTCAGCTAGTATGTAGTTAAATTCTTATCATTTATATTCCAGTAGCTATTAGGTAAATGGCTACCTTACACTGCAACACAAGCTTTAATGGGTGAAAACTTTTGCACTTCATCACATGCCTGCAACAAATTGTGAAGATTTCTAACAAGCCAGTTAGGTTGTCATAAAAACTTAGTTGTAACTAGTTTGGTGCAGCATGTTTATTGCTTCTGCCTACTTCAATACATTAGTCGCGTTACATCAAAATATTCGTGCTTGGCAGCAGTGACAAAGCCCCAATCCAGTTTCTTAGGCAAATCGCAGTGTTTTATGAAAACTCTGAAAAAAAAATCTTTTCAGGTACCAAAAATAGTACTCCAATGTCACCTGACAAGCCTGCAAACTTCAACCAACTTAATCTGGACAGCATCACAATCTCATAAGTAGGTTTTAAGTTTAAAGGTAAATAGTTGGAGGATCGTTATGCCCATGACTTGCATTCAGCACTATAAAAGTAAATTGTAAATACTGGATTTCTCACCTGAGACAGTTGAGGAAGAAAACCGCTCGTCTATCCAATGGTTCTCACGTAGCCGCGCATGCGCATTCCACATGCTGTTTTGTAGCTCTCCAGACGTGACATGCACGACACATACTGCATGTTGACTTCAGTGCTGTATCACCACCACAATACTCGAAGAAGAGCACACATAACACAGAATAATGTGGCATAAACCTTCAGCACATATAATTTAGATGCACAACCATACTGTCTCCGCTCGACAATAAAGGGCTTGAGTTCTTTGGTCAGGATAAACAATTATAATATTCATATCACAGTTGGTCTTCAACAAAATATCACAAATAAAATATAACACCGAGGTGCCTGCAATGTGATGGGGGTCTTCACAGGTGCAAAAGCCAGAAGACTTATCACTGAGTGGCAGTTGAATCGGAAGACTTGTGGCGAGCTTGCGCAGGTCCAGTGATGGTTGATTTGGCTCTAAGAGTTTCTGCTTTCCTTTTATTTGCCTTGGCGTTCGCATCAATTACCTTATCATTTAACCTGCGGCCCAGATTCTTCAACATAATATTTGTGCTACACCATAAAATATTGTTAAGAAGAAAAAGAAGGGACGTCTTCGTGGTGAGACAAGAGAAGAAGAAGAGGCGGAGGCAACGAGCTTTGAATGATTGTAACCGCCATTTTGAGTCTTCACCTAATGTAAATTAAATCATTGTATATATCTATATTCGTCGTAACATTTTGGTGGAGGTGCGATCCGTCCATCTACCTCTCCGTCCCCATCAACCTGGAACTCCGGAGCCGACAGCTTCCCGTCTCATCTATGATAATGGCCTCCGGCAGCACGGCATCCGGCAGTACCCCACCGCAGGGCACACTGTCGCAACCCACGTCCCCTCTTATCATCGCCCACCCTCGTGACCCTGGAAACTTCACCGGATCCGGGGATCAAGATGTAGAACAATGGATCCACCTATACGAAAGGATCAGCGTCCATAACAGGTGGGACCCAACTATCATGCTTGCAAACGTCATTTTCTGTCTACAAGACACAGCCCGAACCTGGTTCCTCACCCACGAGGAAACTATTACGTCTTGGGACATGTGTAAGGAACAGCTGCAACATCTCTTTGGCGATCCTACTGGTCGAAGGCTCTCCGCGAAGCGCAAGCTTGCTTCACGTGTCCAAACGCCAACAGAATCCTATATTACGTACATCCAAGATATTCTTTCCCTTTGTCAGAAGGCTGATCCTGTCATGACTAACGCTGACAAAGTAACTCACATTCTTAAGGGTATTGCCGACGATGCATTCCAGTTGATTGTATTTAAAGATTGTGCCACAGTGGATGCTGTTATACAAGAGTGCAGGCGCTTCGAAGAGGCTAAAAAACGCCGGATCACAGCCAACTTCACACGCCTGCCCAACACGACACCAACATCCACCTGTGAGGATCCGCCTATATCTGAGAGGCAAATCATTCGGATAGTACGCCGTGAATTGGAAGCGATGCTGCCAACAGAGACCTCTGCTCTCCCTGCTGATTCAACTAGTGCAGCAGTTCCAGTATCTGCTGTTCAAGCGCTGGTTCAACGAGAAATCCACCGGCTCGTCCCTCCGGAACGACCAGACAGCCGACGTCTGCCTCCTCGTCCTCTCAACCACTTGCCATCCATCAATTCTATGAGTCCACAACGGGATCCTAACGCATGGAGGACGTCAGATGACCGACCCGTCTGTTTTCACTGTCATGGAATCGGGCATTTTGCTCGCTATTGTCGCCGCCGATTCAACGATGGACCGCGCATTTTCTCATCGACTGCCTACCGTCGTTCCTTTCAACGTCACTCCAGCCCATCAGCCAACCTCTACCCTCATCAAGATCACGAGCCCAGGTTGCCCACACGATACAGCCGTTCCCCCTCCCCCTATCTCCGCCGCTCACCCTCGCCCATGCCCCGTCGCTCAACATCCCCCACCCACGACCACCGCATTTCGGGAAACTAAACCGTGCAGCCTCGCGAAGTGGGGCTGCATCAAAATTCGTGCCCATTAATCCTCTACAGGACGCTATAAGCAACACACAAAACGAACTTTTAGTTTCAGTCGACCACGTTCCTATATTGACGCTTGTAGATACCGGTGCCGCCATCTCCATTATGAGAGAAGATCTTAGACGCCAGCTTCACAAGGTTTTGACGCCCCCGGATTCTAAGCTCCTCCGGGGTGCAGACGGCCGCGCTATCTCCCCTCTTGGAATGTGCAGCGCTCAAATTACCATAAACAGTGAAACCACTCGCGTTCTCTTCACCGTGATTTCCAACTGCCCCCATGCTATGATTCTAGGAGGGGATTTTTTGTCGACGCACGCCGCCCTCATTGATTGCGCCACAGGAACCATTGCCCTCGACATTCCTACCTCAGCCCACACGTCTGATTCAATCGTTTCAAGATTATGCACCACTGGAAGCCATCGGATCCCGCCGCTTGCCGCCATTACCGTCGAACTTCACTCAAATCACTTTGTTGCCAATGGAGACTACGTTCTAACGCCTAACAAGGACATATTTCTCGCGAAACAGCTTGCCCTCCCGCACTGCATTGTTCCAATTGCCAATGGCCGCACCCGCGTATGGATAGCTAACTTTAGTTCCAGTACACAAGTATTGCCAAAAGGTGCTTCCTTAGCAACATGCTCATCGCTAGACACGGCCACAGTCTCCACTATTGCAGCAGACCTTTCAACCCCTTCTAATTCAACCCGCCCAGCTCCCCTAGACCCTTTAAACATACTCACCATGGTAGACTCCACGCTGGACCCTTCCGAACAACAGCGCCTTCAAGCTCTTCTATGGGAGTTCCATGACATCTTTGATTTTGACAATCGCCCCCTTGGACAAACGACCCTTGCTACACACCGCATCAACACCGGCCACGCAACTCCCGTTCACCACAGACCTTACCGAGTGTCAGCCAGCGAACGCCGAGTCATTCAACAAGAAGTTGACACGATGCTTTCGAAGGACATTGTTCAACCTTCCTCTAGCCCCTGGTCATCGCCCGTTGTATTGATTAAGAAAAAAGATGGATCATGGAGGTTCTGCGTCGACTACCGTCGCTTGAACAAAATCACAAAAAAGGACGCTTACCCACTCCCACGTATTGATGACACGCTGGATTGTTTGCACGGTGCCGAGTACTTTTCCACTATCGACCTACGCTCGGGGTATTGGAAAATTACAGTTGACGATTCAGATCGAGAAAAAACAGCATTTATTACACCAGATGGCCTTTACGAATTTAAAGTTATGCCATTCGGCCTTTGCAATGCCCCCGCGACATTCGAGAGGATGATGGACCGCTTGCTTAAAGGTCTAAAATGGACAACCTGCCTATGTTACCTTGACGATGTAATTATTTTTTCAAACACATTTTCCTCTCACCTGACGCGCCTGGCCCAAGTACTCGAACTTTTCCGTAACGCCGGCCTTCAATTAAACTCGTCCAAGTGCCACTTCGGTAGTCGTCAAATAAAAATTTTGGGTCATTTGGTGGATAAAACCGGCGTTCAACCAGACCCTGACAAAGTAGTAGCTGTTCAGGACTTTCCAAGACCGAGGTGCACTAAGGATGTCCGTAGCTTTCTCGGATTGTCTTCATACTTCCGCCGTTTTATACACCATTTCGCACATACTGCCCGCCCACTTAACAACCTTCTGAAAAAAGGCACACCTTTTTTATGGCAATCGGACGAAGAACGAGCGTTTACATGCTTAAAGACCGCTCTAACAACCAGCCCCATTCTAGGTCATTTTGATGACTCCGCACCGACTGAGCTACGCACAGATGCCAGTGGCCATGGGATTGGTGCTATTTTGGCTCAAATTCAATCCGGACACAACCGAGTAATTGCTTACGCTAGCCGCACGCTTTCTTCAGCCGAAAAAAATTATACGATCACCGAGCGGGAGTGTCTAGCGGTTGTGTGGGCAATAAAATTTCGGCCATACCTGTTTGGCCGCCAGTTTTCTGTAATCACTGACCATCACGCCCTGTGCTGGCTATCGTCTGTGAAAGATCCTGTCGGCCGCCTTGGACGATGGGCTCTTCGACTCCAAGAGTACGATTTCACCATAACCTATAAATCAGGGAAGCTCCATCAAGACGCCGACTGCCTATCCCGTTACCCCGTGGACTCTACTAGCCACATCAATGAAGACTCCGATATTCCCGTTCTTCCTATCTCGAACCTTCTGGACATTGCCCAGGAACAGAACCTTGATCCACTGCTGCACTCTATCATTTCAGATCTGAGAGATAACACCAATACGCCTTCTTCAAGTCTCTACTCTCTCCAAAATGGCGTTCTCTATCGACAAAATTTTCGACCCGATGGTTGTTCTTGGCTTCTGGTCATACCCAAGCACTTACAAACGTGTATTCTCGCCGAGCTGCATGACGCACCATCATCCGGTCACCTGGGTGTGGTCAGAACCTACGCCCGAGCGAAGCAACGATTTTACTGGACAAATATGTACAGAACAGTGAAGCGATACGTCACCTCGTGTGACTCTTGCCAGCGCCGAAAAACACCCGCCTCCCGTCCTCCAGGATTTCTACAACCTCTGAATCCTCCTGAGCAGCCTTTTCACCGCGTAGGAGTTGACCTTCTTGGTCCCTTCCCTACCTCCTCAATTGGTAATCGCTGGATAGCGGTCGCGATCGATCACACCACACGCTACGCAATCACAAGGCCCCTCCTGACCGGAACGGCAGTTGACGTCGCCCAATTCCTGCTCGAAGACATCATCCTCAAGCACGGAGCACCTCGTGAACTTTTGTCCGACCGTGGACGGCCCTTCATATCTCGCGTCGTAAGTGAAATCTTGAACCTCTGCTCCATTCTTCACAAAAAAACGACAGCCTACCATCCACAGACGAACGGCCTCGTAGAACGCCTTAATCGGACCCTTGCCGACATGCTCGCAATGTACGTTACCCACAAGCACAAAAATTGGGACGTTGCACTCCCTTACGTAACTTTCGCATATAATTCCTCTCCTCATAACACAACCGGCTACTCTCCCTTCTATCTTCTTTTCGGTCATGAGCCCCTCCTCATGTTGGACTCACTGCTTCCGCTACGCCCCGAAGCCTCACTTTCCGACTATGCATCGGACGCCATAGGCCGTGCTGAAGAGGCACGAACACTTGCACACCTGCGAACTCTTGATTCTCAGGAACGGCAATGCGCCCGTTATGACAGCACCCACACTTTCGTCGCCTATTCACCAGGTGACCTGGTTCTGCTCTGGACCCCACAGCGACAAGTCGGCCTTGCTCAGAAGCTACTACCTCGATATCGCGGTCCTTATAGGATCCTCAACCGAACAAGTGACGTCAATTATACAGTCGAACCCGTCGAACCTCCCCAAAATAACCGCCATCGTCAAGTACAAACAGTTCACGTCCTCCGGCTCAAACCATACATCCCCCATTCAAACGGCGGGACGCCGTTTCCACCCGAGGGGGAGTGATGTTAAGAAGAAAAAGAAGGGACGTCTTCGTGGTGAGACAAGAGAAGAAGAAGAGGCGGAGGCAACGAGCTTTGAATGATTGTAACCGCCATTTTGAGTCTTCACCTAATGTAAATTAAATCATTGTATATATCTATATTCGTCGTAACAATATGCTTAAGCACCTGCTCGCTCGTGTGTCCATCTTCACAGGTGTCAAAGTCCGAAAATTCGTCGTTGGCTAGAAGTTCAACAGTACTAGTGAGCTCTGTTGCTACCTGCCGCTGGTTTGGCATCTGCAAAAACTCTGGCTGCTTCGACAGTTGGACAACAACAACATAGTTGTTTGCAACTGCATTTACAAGAAACAATGTTGGATAGATGAGTCCTCTCCTGTCAAGTTCTCTCACAAGGTCGTAGTGCTGCTGCATGACTGAAACTGTGATTGTTTTGTCTATTGACAATGCAGCCCTGCATTTCTCACAGTTCAGCTTTTTCACAGTTGCATACACAGCATATCCTGCTACATGCACAAGGACCGGCATGATGTCCGTTATCTGTGACAACGCTTCCTCAGTTACTACTACGTTGCAATTGGGGCGTGGGGCATCCGTGCGTTTGAAGAGATCTTCCCATTGCTCGTCTCTTTTGCTGCCACTTACGGAACTGGCGGCACATGACGACTCGCACATCATTGATGAATCTGCAACATACTATGTCGCGGGATTTTTGATAAAACTTTTTGCTGAGAAGACTGCGCCTGGTTGTTCATGTTCAGAATTGCTGAACAATGAGCATGACACCCTGTACCATCCTCATCAGTATTTTACAACGCTTAAAGCGTACCACATCCCGGGGAAGCTTTTTGGAAACCTGACCGTGCCATCAGAAGCTGCCTTCAGATATATCCAGCAGCTTGAGTTACACTTCCTTTCTGTCATTGAAAGAGTGGCGCATCTTCGTAACGTCTGAGGTGTTTTGTATGCCAAACTCGTGGACGTTGGCAGTTTTATGTTTTGCACTAAGGAGTGCCATACGAAGTTTTTAAAGATGTTTTGCAGAGTACGTCTCTGCTGGCATATAAGCTTTATTAACCGGAATTTAGACAGAGTTAGGCTCCAAACTTGCGTCTCTGGGGCACAACTGGTGAAGTTCAAAGGGTAGTATAAAT